GGATGGAAGGAAGGAAGGAAAGAAGGAAGGAATGATCGATGGATGGATGGATGATAGATAGATGGATGGATGGAAGGAAGGAAGGAATGATGGATGGATGGATGATAGATGGATGGAAGGAAAGAATGATGGATGGATGGATGGATGGATGGATGGATGGATGGATGGATGGATGGGTGGGTGGATGGATGGATGGATGGATGGATGGATAATAGTCTTAATAGTTTTTTGGTTCGTCCGTTAAGGTGGCTGAAGGTTGTGGTCTCCTGCAGACCTTCTCGTCAGCTGCCTCCTCACCGACGCCTGATTCAGTGTCCGTGACTTCAGCTAGCTTGGGTGTTTGATGTTAGCAACGTTAGCACATTATCAGCCGAAACACTTTGATTAAACAATGCACCAAGAGCCGACGCTGCTGGAAACATTTCTCCTTGGAAATATTTTGCTCTTCGTTCTGTACCACCAAGTTCCGTTTGGGTTCCTTTGAATTTCTGTAATTGCTCTAGCATGCGTGAGATGTCAAGTTCTGCACGTCGGACGATTTATTTGATCCAGCTGCGGCCTCCTGCAGATGTGACGCTGCTGATAGGAGACACTCTCTGTTAGTCGACCTGTGTCATCTTGAAGAACAATTCCAGAGTCTGGACCAAGTTCCAGAGTCTGGACCAAGTTCCAGAGTCTGGACCAAGTTCCAGAAACCAAAAAGAGCCACGATGACTGTTGGAAACAACATTTTGTTAAAAGACGGTGAAAACGGAGCGCGTCATTTAGGATGAGCGGCGACCTTCAGCCAGCTAGAATATTTGTTATGAAAAGTTTTGAAGGTCTCACCAGTGATCTGCGAGGCAGCGGCTGAGGGGCGGGGCCTCGGCTGTCGTTCTCAAAGCTCTGAGAGCGTTGGCTGATGGGAGAACCGTTCTGTGGAGCTTTGCAGGCCGGGTCCAGGAAGTGTGAGGTGATGCTCTCACTTTCCGTCCGTTGAAAACCTCAAAGCAAAAATGTGCATGTAGATTTCAAGAACAACCGTTTCAAAACTAAATGTCCCTTATTTTCGTTTCTGCTTTTTTAAAATTTTCACTTCCATCGAGCGGTGCAGCAGAACCGCATGAACCTTCAGGTTTTAATCTTGGAGAAAGCATCCAGAGTATCACGACACCATCAAACATATAAATATAAAACCTCTAATAGCTGCTGCTTCTGTGGCCCTGCGGGACACTGAGCGTTTTTCTAATCTGTCGTCTCACTGCATTTTTTAAAAAACGTTGAAACTGTCTACTGATTAGAATCATTTTAATAAATGGACAATAAAATGTTGTGCATGTTCACTCTGTTGTTGGTCCAATCCCAAAAAAACAAGACTGCTCAGTCCCTGAACGACTTCGTTAATTATGAAGTCATTGAAAAAAACTGGTTCGGGGGGGTCCTCTTGCCAAAAGATGAAGATCGTTTGGATCCACTTCAGTTTGTTTTTCGTTCACGTAGATGAAGTGGATGACTCAACAGAAACTCTTAAATATGATTTTAGGACACCTTGAAGGTACAAGAACATTTGTAAGATGTAGAAAAGACTCTTCAGTTTCCACTCCTGTGGTCATTAACACTGAAGCAATAAAAATATATGTGAGCTGTTCTTGATGACACACTGACCTTTGACCCCCATGTGAACACACTTTGTCAGAAGAGAGAATGTATTTTTATCAGAAGCCCTTTTAACTTTCACCTTCATCTGTTGGTTTGGACTTTCAACATGCAAAAACAGGAACAAACTCTTGAGGACTGTCAGGATGTGCAGTAAAAACTGCTGACATGGCCCGACAGAACCTCACTGACCTACACAAGACGAGGTCAGTGAACAAGGCCAGGCGGATTCTGGCAGATCCTGATCATCCACTCCATGGTGAGTTCAGGCTGCTTCCACCTGGACGCAGGTATCTGCCGCCCAGATGTTGGACGAACAGACTGAAAAACTCATTCATTCCTGCAGCGATCAGGCTTCTCAACGAACAATGCTGTTACTTTAACGTCTCAATGTCTCGTCGGGATGTTTTATGTTCTGACTGTGAAGCAAATTGCCCCTTGGGGATAATAAAGATTCTTGTGTGTTTTCATTATTGTTCAGTGTTGCAAAAATATGAAAATTGAAATAAAAACGCTTGATTAACCCAACATTTAACAGGTAATATAACTGTTAAAATCACATTTGCTTACTCTAAAACACGAGGAAACGTGAGCATGTCAAATGCTGTAAAAAAATAAATAAATAAAACCTCAACTTGCAGTTTTAAAGTAAAGCAAGGAACGGTTGTTGAATAATCATCATTTTTGTATACTTTTCTAAAAAGAGTTTATGAAAGGCTTGAAGTTTTTTCAGTTTCAGCTCAAATATAAACAGTTTAATGGTATTTTTAACAAACAAAAATGGTACGTTTAAAGATATCTAAGGTAGATGTGATGTCTTTGTACCTCTGTCAGGTCGTTCAGTCAGCGAGCTGAGAGGTGAAGACTGACTGGAGACACAAAGAGACAGAAAGGTCAAAGTTCATTCCACCATCGAACACTGTTGTTTACACTCTGACCACTAGAGGGCAGTAAAATCTCACTTATCCTTTATCCTTGAACTATCATTAAGCTCTTATTTGTGCATAATATAAAAAAAAACAATGTATTTTTGCTCATATAAACAACTCAAATATGTTAAATAAGTATAGTGTAATTTTAAAATACAACATTGATTAGAATTGTGTTTTTCTGAGATCATGTGTAGTTTATAAACTATTAAGGTCACACTGTTTGACATGTTCGTCATCGAGATTTGACTGATTCAACATTTCTGACTGCACTTTTAAAAAAACGCAGCAAGATTCAGTTTCAGATACTCACACGCACTTTTTAAAGGAGGAGTCTGGACTGCTGTAGACCCTGGGGCTGGTTGGTAACCCATAATCTGTGAGCGCGCACACACACACATTTAATGACAGAGTTACGCGGACAGATTAATTACAGAGCGTCTCGCTGATATTACCGTGTTTATTAGACTCGGAGCAGGTCCTCTTGTGTCGGACGGCGATGGGAGGAGGAGTCGTTTTTCTGTTTCCTGTCATGGGGAAGAAGACTTCGCCCTCTTCCTCCTCTTCTCCCTGCACTCCATCTCCTCCAGCTGGAGGAGGAGGAGGAGGAACAGTGGGAGCTACAAGATAAAAAATTTAACTACAACTTAAAAACGTTGCAAAGAAAAAAAATCATATATCAACAGCCTGAATTCATTTCACCTAATTTTGTTTATATCAGAGTTTAAGACTGCGATCATCTTTTATTAAGAAACAACAGAGGTGCAGCTGTTCTTTGCTCAGATAAGCAGTGGTGCAGTCTACGCGATACGCAGGTATACACAGTATACCCACTAGAAAAGCTTAAGAATTTCAGTATACCCTCTTAAAAGTGCCCAATGATACAAGACACATCATTATGTGCATGTCATTGATACGTTAAACAGCAGTTAAACACTTCCGTAACAATTTATCTGTACGCAGCGCTTTGCTTTCATACTGTTTTATAAATTCTGTAACGTGTTTTTCATACAAAGCCAACTGTTATACAAAGCCTGCTGTTCATTTATTCAAATGTAAGCATCAGAGAAATTTGGAAACGTTCAATATGCGTAAAAATCAACATAAATTGACAATTACATTGTACTAACCAGTGTACTTTTGTTTCTAAGCACAGTATACCCACTACATAAATGTAGACTACACCACTGGATAGTGATTTCTGCGCCGACAAAGAAGTTCACGCTGAAGCTCAGCGAGAAGAGTGAAGCGTGATTTCAGATAATGATACGACGGGGAAGAATAACAGCCTTCATTTCAGTAATTATGGGATTAAGGCAGAGGAAATGTGTCAAAGCTGCAGCTGTGTCATCGGGTTTGAACAGACCATAATAAGCAAACAACCTTTATTGGTTCAAGAAATTACTTAAATCTGAGTGTTTATGTCATAACAGAGCAGCGACTTTAATAAGAAGCAAGCTGAGCTCACCTTTGACCCGGGGAGGCAGTGGGGGAGCAGGGGAAGATGGAGGGGGAGGAGGCGGGCTGGGGGCGGAGCCAGATGGACGGTTGTGAAGGTCCATGGCCATGGCCAGCCTCCTCCCCACGCTGAGAAGACCTCCGCCTGGTCCCACAGAGGGGGGCAGAGCGACGGACGAGGAGGAGGAGGAGGACTGACTCAAGCTGAAAGGACGGGAGGAGAAGGAGAAGGAGGGGGTGAAGACGGAGGATGATGATGAGGAGTAACGCTCCTTCTTCACCGGACCATTCTGGAAAGTAATGACAGCGATTCACAGTTTAATAAAATCACAGCAACGAACAATTGTCCAAATGAAGGAGTTTTCGTGATTGAGAGGAGCAACGAGGTTGTTTTGTAGAAAAGAAAGGATAATCAGAGCAGGGAGAGATGTGACGTGACAGCTGACTGTACTCGTTTTGTCCCCGAACAAAAGAAACAAAAAAAAAAATGAAGACGTTCACGACAGCACACACTTGGTTACCATGGTTACCTTATCATCAAAGTCAGCAGACTCTTTGTCGCCATAGTTCAAGTCATTTATTGTCATTCGCATCACATGTGGTACATGAGGTGGAACAAAATTGTGTACTCAGGGTCCCAATTACACCCAAGAATAGCAAAAATATAAAGTTTAAGAGACGGTATATGAAGATCGAAGATATACTCTAAGATAAACACTAAACGAACGTTAAACAATACGATCTAAAAGATCTAAGTTAACAGGGCAGCACGGTGGCGCAACTGGTAGAGCTGCTACAGGTCCCTGGTTCAAACCCCGGTCCAGGGGCCTTCTGGGTGGAGTTTGCATGTTCTCTCGTTGCATGCGTGGGTTTTCTCCGGGTGCTCCGGTTTCCTCCCACAGACCAAAAACATGCATGTTAGGCTGATTGGTAACTCTAAATTGTCCCTAGGTGTGAGTGAGAGAGTGAATGGTTGTTTGTCTCGTTTGTCTCTATGTGTCCCTGTGATGGACTTGCGACCCGTCCAGGGTGTACCCCGCCCCTCGCACAGTGATTGCTGGACATGGGCACCAGCGACCCCCGTGACCCAAAATGGAATAAACGGCTAAAGATAATGGATGGATGGATATAAGTTAACGCAATTTATCTGAAAAGCAGAGTGCTTTGAATTTAATTCCATCGCAGAACTCTCATCTTGAGCAAGCTCAAAGGACACAGTGGAAAGAAAAAAGTCCCTCATGAGGAAGAAACCTTTACCTAAACACAAATAATGTAAAATAATACGATATACTAAACAGCAGCTCGAACAGGGTTGGTTGCACTTGGTTGCCATGAAAACCTTGTCCTCAAAGTCACCAGACACTTGGTTGCCATGGTTACCTTGTCATCAAGGTAAGCAGACATTTAGTTGTCATGGTTACCTTATCAAGATAAGCAGACGTGTGGTTGCCACGGTTACTTTGTCATCAAAGTAAACATGGAGACACTTGGTTGTCATGGTTAATTTGTCATCAAAGTAAGCAGACATTTTGTTGCCATGGTTACTTTATTGCCATGGTTACTTTGTCATCAAAGTCAACATGGAGACACTTTGTTGCCATGGTTACCTTGTCATCCAAGTCAGCAGACACTTGGTTGCCATTGTTATCTTGCCATCCAAGTCAGCAGACACTTTGTTGCCATGGTTACTTTGTCATCAAAGAAAACAGAGACACTTTGTTGCCATGGTTACCTTGTCATCAAAGTCGTCGTCGCTGTCGTACAGATCATCGTGACGGAGCCTCCACTCGTACTCCACGTGGATGTGATGGTTGAACTGATCGGACTGGACCTGCTGCAGCTGCATTCACACAAATAAGTGTATTTTCAGGAAACTGATTTATTTTATATTATTTTATTTTTTTATTTTTTTCCAGTATAATGACTCGGCAGATATTCTTTTGCAATCTATTTATTTCCATTTTTGCCATTTTAACCATTTATATATCAAAACGTTCATATATTTCAGGAGATGGGTGCTGCCTTTTGGTTTTAGTAACTTTTATAGATTATAAATATATTTACAAATATTGTTAATATTGAAATTTATTGAGTTCTGTTCATTTCCTTCAAAAACAATGTTTTCTTTAAAAATCCTCTTCAGCATTTTGGTTCTGTTTTTGTTATTTTGTGCTACTAATTTCTCTTGTTTCACTTTGTTTTGTTTCTAATTTTAATAAGTCATTACCCCTCACTGATTTTTATCAAGCTAACTGTACCTAATTACATTTATGGGTTTATTTGAAAAGTAATTTAATTCACTTTTGATTTGACTTCCTGCGTGTCTTAGCCTTTAAATGCTTTCCAAGTTATCAGTCTTGGTAAACTGTGAATTAAAAAAAGGTGCTTCATATTTAAAGTATTTCCTGATGGAGTCAAATTAATGGATTTATAAATAGATTGATGACCTCACCAGCTCCTCACAGTCACGGTGCTTTAACCGGCGACTCACATCCAGAGCAGTTTCTCCTAACTCGTTCTCTGCAAGACAAACTAGGATCAGGATTTTATGATGAACACAACATTATGAGCAATGTACTCAAAATGTAAATACAATTTGTTTTTCAACAAAACAAGTTTAATGACATTTAAACGTTTCTTTTTTTATTTGAGGCTGAGTGTGTGAGTGTGTGTGTTACTGATGTGTGCGTTGGCTCGCGCTCTCAGCAGCAGCTTCACGCAGTCGCTCTTGTTGTGCAGGCAGCTGTAGTGCAGCGCTGTGTTCCCCGCTGACGTTTGCACATCTACGTTGGAGCTGGAGAGACAAAGCATGCAGGTAAACATGTCGCAGTAAACGCTGACACACTCAGGTGCAAAAACCTAAAGGCGTCGCTAAACAGGCTGACCAGTTCTGAGCCAGGAAGTCCAGGATGTGCAGCGACGTCCTGTCAGCCAACAGGACGGCCAAGTGAAGCGCCGTCTCTCCTTTTTCCTGTGGACGTGGAAACATACAGCCGGTTACGTCATGGGACTACAGCTCAAACATCTGTAAACCTTCAGCTTTCAGGGCTGGGGTTATGATTCATTTTTAGTTGCATCGCAAACAATATTCTGAACCATTTTCAAATGTCAAAAATCCATTTTGTTAGCTAAGTTGTGATGCGGGCAGCATGGTGGCTCAGTTGGTAGAGCTGCCGCCTCTCAACGAGAAGGCCGCCAGATCGAATCCTGGCTGTGGAGCCATTCTGGGTGGAGCTTGCATGTTGTGTCCGTGCATGCGTGAGTTTTCTCCACATGTACTCTAGTTTCTTCTCATAGACCAAAAACATGTATGCTAGGCTGACAGGTAACTGAATTGTCCCGATAATAGATGAATGGATGGATGGGAGGATGGAATTTGTGATGCCACTTTATAAAGGTCACACAAAAGAGTTAAACCAGGTCATCTGGACAGATTTTTCTTGGTAGAAACATTTCGTCTTTCATCCGAGATAATTCATCAGTCTGAGGTCTGCCAACCAGCTCCGTCGTATAAACAGCACCTTTTTAAAAGTGGTTCAAGCCAGCCTGCTGTGGAATTCTAGAAACTAGCTTTTCACTTTAAGAGAGTCAGTCTGGTAGTTGCTGAGGTGTTGCCAGGTCAGCAGAGTTGCTGAGTTCAGTGATTCATTCATTCATTCAACCTTTACTTAAACAGATAAGTCACATTGAGCCTCGAAGACTCGTTTACAAGTGAGATCTGTTTGGACAGACAATAAAAAAGTGGTGAAAAAGGCACATAGGGTTTGGAGACAAAAAAAAAATCCTAACATGCTGTTAATGTTTGGCTGAAGGTTAACAGCATGATAATGAAAAAAAAAAAACTCGCACAACTAGCACATAATGATAAGCACAATGCTAATCACTTTAGCATTTCCATGGTGTTTTTAATGTTACTGAAGCATCTATGCTAACTGCAATGTCAGCAGTCTGTGATTAATTGTTCCTATTTGCATATGTTGTGTGTTTTATTGTGCAAGAAAAAATATAAATCAGTATAACCCACAATATGTTTGCACGTGTGTAAGCATGTACACCTGTGCATATTATGCAAGCCCTATAAACACTTTGTGTGTAGCCCCGGCAGTGGTTAGCTCTTGTACCTGTATGTGCGCGTGCAGCTGTTGGCTAAGCTCCGCCCTCTGAGCGTACAGCTGGATCAGACTGTAGATGTCGCCGCTCTTTGTCGCCTCCTGCAGGCCGAGTCGCAGCACCGCAGCGGAACTGTTGCTCCGCCTAACGAAGTGCACATCCTGGTACTTTGACAGGATGAAGTCTTTGCGCTCCACCCTGAACGATACACACGTACCATAGGAGGTCTTGTTAAGAAACAAATCCACAAATAAACTTTGCTTCTTTCTTTTTTTAGTTAACTCTGAGTGTGCGTCTTACATGTGGCTGTGCTGGGAGGGCTTCTGTGACGGACTCAGGAGGTTTGCCTCCAGTATTTCATTAAAACCAGAGTTCCCCACATTTCTGGCCAACTGGAGCAGACAGAGAACAGTCCAGTCCGTTTCTGTTCCATAAGAACTTTCAACTCTATCAAACCCATTTCATTTCACGGAGCAGAAACAGAAAACTTTACATTCGTGACTAATTAAGCCTCCAGCAACTTTTACAACAATCTGAGCCAGAGTAGATGATCAACGTCAGATACAATATCTTTCATGACAAAAGGCCAAACCCACCAACAGATCTGAGGTCCCCAGACTGTCCAGGCTCAGGGACTTGATCCTGGAGACATGGACTCCCATCTCTCTGTGGATCCCTGAGCACTCAATACAGGTCAGGATACCCAGATTTGTTGAAAGCCATCCAGGATCTACAGAGAGAGTGGCAGCGGTTTGAACACTTCCTGAAAAGTTCTCACAATAAATCACATTACATCAGTTCATTTTCAGCTGTTTTAATTGTTGTTTGTTCAACTTTTAAATTTTTTGAAATATTAAATTTAACTCTCATTTTTCATTGTTGGGAAAAAAAAAAAACATCTCTCTAAATCCTTGAAAATCTGCTTTTGAAATCTACTTCAGCATATTTACACTATTTTTAGCTTTCAACAAATGTTTTGCTAATCTCAGTTTTTAGCTTTAACTTTTATAATTAACTTTAGCTATTGTGTAATTGTTTAGCTGCTGTTTTTGATAATTTTAGGATTTAACTTCTGTTTAGCAAACTTTCGCACTGAGCTTCAGTTTTTAGCTACTGTTTTATTAACTTCATCTTTTAGCTTTTATTGCGCTAATTTTAGCTTCTAGCAGCTGTTTTGATCATTTTAGCTTTGAGTTTTGTTTTGCTAAATGTAGCCCTAACTTTTGTTTGCTCAAGTTTAGCGTCCAGTTTTTCTTTAGCTCATTTTAGCTCATGACCGTTCAGTTTCAGCGCATTTCAGCATCTTTTAGCTTTTTAGCATCGCTGCATTTTCACAGAAAAGGTAGTTTCTCTGGATTAATGAAGTTGTTTTTGATCAGAAAAACATGTTTTGTGTCAGAGTGTCTGTCCTGAAAGAGGTCAGATTCAAAGTAAGATGAGAATGGATGAGAAATGAGGCAGGATGCTCCTTACCTGGAGTGCCACAGTCACAGCAGCTGCTGTTTCCAGGCATCCGGCGGATGTCGTCGGTGATGGCCCGGGTCAGGTCCTCGACGCTGCTTTCAGCTCCTCCTCCTCTCCTGCTCCCATCCAGAGCCATGCTCAGAGCTTCCTGCTTACTGTTACTGAGCACCGAGATCCATCTGAACGTTCAAAACAGGAATTATTTGTCCGCCTTCCTCCTCAGGTGACCATTTATGACTATTTTTATTGATTGGTGTTGATCTCTGGGTCAGATTCGACTGAAACAACATTCCACACAGTGTATCCTCTTGACACTCCGGTGTCACCACGAACTGCAGAATCCTGACGTGAATTGTGTTTTTTTTCTCAAAAGCATTACCATATTTTTCGGACTATAAGGCGCATTAAGCAAAAAACAGTCGAACTTTATTCAACACATTCACAATAAATGCATAAAATAGGTTCGAGGTCAGTCAGCACAAGCAGAATTAATACATAAGACGTACCTGATTATAAGGCTCACTGTTGATTTTTGAGAAAAGTAAAGGATTTTAAGTGCGCCTTATAGTCCGGGAAATACGGTACTTCAACTAAATCACATCGTTCAAACGCTTTCCTGCCTCTTTTGTTTTATTTTAAAAACAAATCAAGCAAATTCTGAGTAAATTTCATTGATTGTTATGGCATTAAAAGTACCCAGCACCCTTAAATTAACTCAACAACCTCAGCTCTTTACAGCTCAGTTGTTTAAACACAAGTTTAAACAATTGTGGAAACATCTCGAGCAATAAGCACGGTAGATTTAATAAACAAGTTGGTGCAGAAGATTACTCAGAAAGCTGCGAAAGTTGTATCAGAAAAAAATGATGAGAAACCAAAACTTTCTCTCGTCCCTCCTCTTTAATAAACATCACTCTTTGAATACTCGTCTGCCTTTCGTAGCAGCAGAAAATAATCCATCTTTGTTTTGGCTTTTATCTTAGATTCAACGATCAGTTCAGTTACTTTTTATAAGAACAAGGCCGAATAAAAATGTTTCTGACTTACGCCACACACTCGGCTTCATCCTCAGCCAGGAAGTGGTAGGTTCGATTATCTAGGGGAGAACGGATTTATTAAAGAACGCACATATTTAAAAACTACAGTATATTCAAGTGTTTCCAGTCATTTATGCATGTAAATACACAACTTTCATTTTCTTCCCCTTTTAAATTTATGATGGCAATTAGCCCTGTAGCTTTAATCAGGAAGGTACCTCTCTGAACTGCTGCTTTTGTAGGTGTGTTTTCTTTTTGTACACCAATTTGCAGTAGAAATGCTCATGTTTAAGTGTCTTTTTTGTGTGTGTGTGAATGAGACTTACGAGAGATGAGGTCAAAGCATTTCTTGTCCTCCACGCTGGGTTTAACCTGACAGGTGAGCAGGTTCAGTCTGGTTGGAGGTTTATTCGGCTGAGAGACAAAGGCAGAGCTAGTTCAGACAATTGTTACTAAATAATAAATCTCTGAAACTTCAATAGTGTCATGGATGTCCCTTAGGAGGACGCATTCTTCTTCAGCTCAAATTAATGTGGCTGTTGTTCGTGTTTGGGTTTTTTAATGGAGGTTTCATCTCAAACAGTCGTTCTTTAATGTGCATATCAAACAGTGACATACGTTATACGTAATATCCCAAAGATTAAAAGGTAAATGTTCAAGGTGAGAGGTTGCACACTTACAGTAGCGTGTGCGATGGTGAGGTAACAGTTGTGAACTGAACATTTCCTCTTCTGCCACATTTTCCTCAAACTGAAGCACAGACATGTCATTTTAGTGATAGTTGAACATTTATGAACCGTATCAAGAGTTTTAAGAGGAGTCATTTGTATTTTTTTTTAAGTGTGGTCATTTAAAATAATCATGAGTGTCTAACTTGCAGTAGACAGAATAGTTGACAGAGTCGGGGTGATTCCTTGAATGTGATCAACTGTAAAAATCCAGATTATAAACTACTAAATTGCCGCATTTATTTATTTTTTTAATCTGACCATCATTTAACTGTCTAACGTCACGCTTCTCTGCCACAGGTAAGATACTGACTGCTCTACTACCCTTAAGCAGCTCATATGACCACACTTGAAAAGTATCCAAACACAACTTTTCAATAATTTAGTTGTGAGTGATAATTATAATTTGAATATTTATGTTAGTTAACTTAACTTATTGTTATTAATTAGGTAAGTAATGTTAATTATTTCAGCAACTAACAATGTTTTGCTACAAAATTCACAAGACATCTATAAAATTATTTGCATTTTTATCCTTTTATTGGCTGAGGTGCTTATAAAACTGCATAATTTCCCATCAGCTCATATCTTAAATTAAAGAGTCGTAAATTATTTGATTTAATTTTATTGTCTTGGGGGTAAACTAAGCATGTGAAGTTCATTTCTGAGTTTACCCATCGCTCTTCTTGTAGAGGAATCCTGTTCTCTCTGTTCCGTACTGTTTGTCTCCCAGCAGCTGGTGCATACTGTACACCTGCTTAGGTAAAGAGTCCTGTGCAAACACACGTACGTTATTTAGCTGTTGAACAGAAATGCTAAATGCTAGTTCGCCTCAGCGTTCGTGTCTCCGACCTGCTCTGCGTGGACGACCGGCCTCAGCTGGTCTCTGAGGGAGCACAGCTGCCGCTTCTCCTCCTCCTGACGCTGCTTCACCTGCACACAACTCACCTGTCAGCTTTTCTACTATATTCCTCTATAAACAATTTTATTTATAGACCATTTTTTTACAGGCATGAACACTAAAGTGTTTCATGCAGAAAAGAGTAAAAATAAAATTCACTCGTAATACAAAAACAAGTTACACAAGAACTGATGGAAAAAGGAAATAAAATCTGACATTTTAGAGCAAAAATGTACAACCACAATTTGCAGGCTATAAAGAAGATAGAAGGTAGAGTTTCAAAAAATTAAGGATGCACGATATTATCGGCATGATATCGGTATCGGCCGATATTAGCATTAAAGCTAAATATCAGACATTGGCCATTCCATCAAAATAACTCCCCGATATAAAAGACGCTGTTTTTGTATGACAACCCAGTGACATGGATGCCTGCAGCGCCACCACAACATGATGATGTCACACGCGCCTACCTGATCACGGCGGAGAGGAAGAAGTCAAAATGTCGGCGGTGTGGAAGTTTTTTTTCCGTTGAGGATATTGGATGCTGAAGATTTTTGGACAATAAAGTCCCTGCTCAATAATCCAGGTATAAATCCAACATTTTTCAGTCAGGTCATCTGGACAGTTTCTTTTTTTGTGCTGAAACGTTTCGCCTTCGATCCGGAAGGCTTCATCAGTCAAGGAAACACACAACAAAACTGATTCTTCCTCCAACAGCTTACTCCAAAGTAAAACAAACCAGTTCTGCTTGTGATAAGATGGTTTATTTGGTACGCCCCCTCCTCCATTGCGGGCCCTCTTCCTTGTTGACAGTCTTGTCAAACTGGTTGAAAACAACAAAGTCCATGCTCAATGGAGCAATGGAGGAGGGGCGTACCAAAGAAACCACCTTATCACAAGCAGAACTGGTTTGTTCCACTTTGGAGTAAGCTGTTGGGGGAAGAATCAGTTTTGTTGTGCATTTCTTTGACTGATGAAGCCTTCTGGATCGAAGGCGAAACGTTTCAGCACAAAAAAAGAAACTGTCCAGATGACCTGACTGAAAAATGTTGGATTTTTGGACAATGTTGAGCCTCGTTACATCCTCCCCAGTCAGAGATATTTTTTCCAACGTAACCTTACCCGAGTTACAAGCCGTCGATTCCAACGTCATTGAGAATCTAACAGCCAATAGCACTCGGATGAGATTTACCACAGACATGTGGACGTCGTGTTAGCCCCGTTAGCATGATTAGTCTTACGGCACAATGGATAGACAAAAGCCTTGAACTTAAAAAGGCTGTCCTTCATGCACAAGAGCGCAGAGGATCCCACACTGAACCTGGAACAAGCCTCCACAAGTGAGACAGCATCGCAGGTGAATAATGCTAATAAATAACATTTAACACTTTTCATTTAATATAAGTTGAAGTGCTATGCCTATCATATGGCTGTTACTGAATATATGTCACCAGCTCTTACAGCTGTTACAAATTTTTGTAGCAAATAGACCTAAATAAGAGGGCTATGTTCTGACAATGGAAAGTATATTTAAAAAATATCGATATCTGTATCGGTTATCGGCCAAATAAGTTTTACCATATCGGATATCGGCCAAAAATCCAATATCGTGCATCCCTAAAAAAATATGCACCTTGACGAAAAGTTTCTGTTATAGCTTCAGCTTTGAATATTTGAGATTTCCCAGATAAATTATGAAAATGCATTTATATCGATCCGTGTTTTGCAAGCGTAAGATTTCAACCTGATATTTGTTTTATGTTTGGAAGAAAGAACAAAATTTGATCAAAAGGTTTCCTCAGAAAATGTCAGTGTATTGTTATTAAAAGAAACTAAATTAATAAAATGATTGGTTACTAAGATTGTTCAGGTCAGATTCTACATATATTGTTTGCATTTAATCTTTGATAATCACAAGTTGTTCACATCTTAGATCAATGGTTCCCAAAGGTTGGGTTAGGACCCCACTCTGGGTCCGTGAAGCTCCAGCTGTGGGGTCTTGAGATGATTTTCAGAAACAAAATTAAAAATTTTAATTATTTATGATTGTTTCTTTGCCATGACTTTTACAAGAGCTACAAAAGATAGTCATAACAAATCGTTATAATGGTTAATAAAACTTTTAACATCATTTTTTCCTTGTTTATTGTATGCTAATATGCTAAAATAATAAATCACCAACATTTAGGATCACAAGATTCTGCAATATTCATTCTGTGGTTCACTGGCTGAAAAATCTCAGGATCACTGCTTTGGACAGTGTGTTGTGTTTAATTCATTTATTCTAATGACCACAGAGAAATACAGCAGTGTCATCGACATAACCATGAATATTTATGTTTTACTAACATCCTTATTTAACGTCATTATAATTTTAACACAGAGACTCATTAAAGTGGTAGGTCTTCCAATTTTTAAGGTAATTGAAAAGATTATATGAATAGCAAAGATGATGCAAATTAAATTATGTTTATAAACATGACAGATGTGATTTTATAAACGATTATAAGTTAAAACAAGTAATCCAAGCCCTTACATTCCTAACAGGCTGGTAATTTGGCTTACAGCAAATCAAAAAATATTTATGTTATCCTTACAAAAAAAAATTAATTCAAATCTTATTTGCTATTTAATATAATTTCTAACATTAATACCAGCATAAAAGCAGGTTTTATGGGGCTAGTTTTTCAATTTGCATGAAATAGTGGTAATTTGACATTCTCTTGCATTACCGTTTTCAGTTTCTTGCACTGTTTTGACCTGATGTTGCGTTAAATCGCCACTAATAATACAACAACAAAAAAAGTCATCAGCATATTTTCCTCGCTAAACAAAATCAATAAAAACATGCCCTGTTTATACCGTGATCAGCACTCCGTTCAGCTCCTCCATGTACTGCTTCAACCTCTGAGTGGTGGAGACGCACTCCTGCAGGAAACTACACAAACACAGACACAGCTCATGCACACATACCGTACGGAGCTCTCTGTGTGTGCGAGAGAAAAACAAAACGCACTTGTTTTGGCTGTGGTAGTGCTTGATGAGGTTCTGAAGCAGGTCGACTCCTCTCTTTGTCTTTATCTCGTTTACCTTAATGAGATACTGAAACAGAAAGGAGGACCCAAATAGTGGAAATGACCACACGTGTAAAGAGCTGAGGAACATCAGGGGGATAAAGTGAAGAAGAGGAGCAGGAAGTTACCTCGCACATGCTCAGTTGGAAGGAGCGCCTCTCCTTCTCAAGCTCCTCAGCGATTTCTCCTCCACTCACCTCGCTCCTAACCATCCCATACTGCCGTGCTAACTCCCTCTTCTCCTTCTCCACCTGCTTGCTGAACACACACACAGGTGAATTAGTAATGGGACAGCTCACAGTTTTACCACTTTACTTCGGCTGACAGTAGCTTCTCCAGGTTTCTGAATTATGCAGGACGTGATTTTTACACGCAATAACACTTAACAAGGTCGCCCTAAAAATAGAAGGTACACGGCGAACAGTGTGTAAACTCTGTCAGATGAGTTTAATGTATCGTCACTCACAATCTGCTCTCATAATCCCTCCAAGCTCTGTCAAAAGGCTTTTTCAGATCCTGCAGAGACAGAGAAGGAAACATGACGTTAGAGTCACAACTATTGAATTTGTAGGGATACCGGCTCTTCCTGCAGGTTCCTGAGTTCAGAGGTGGAGTCAACTACCAGCAGCTGAGAGTCATCCCACTAATGAGCGCCAGGACTTTAAGAGGCTGCAGAAGAGCTTCCTTCCCTGCTGGAGCATTACTTACCTTCTGGTATTTGTGCTATTGGCCTCCTTGTGTTAACTCTCTAGACTCAAGTAATCTTACGTAGTGTTCTCCTCTCATTCTCACGAAACCTGGTCCCTGAGCCTCCTGTCCTGGATCTCTGTCGCTGCTCTCATTCCTCAACTCCTTGTGCCTATCTGCTCTTGCTCAAGGCGGACGCATTCTCCTCTCCCTCCTGCTTTTGCGCTCTGTGTGTGTCTCGGAGCTCCTTGTACACATCTTCCGAACTAAAAAATACTGTTATGGATCTGCTCAGATGTACTTTCAACGCCATCGACAAAATCTGTTCAACAAAACAACAGGGACCTGGAGAGCCCTCATGTCCTGCTGAGACTCACGCTGCGGGATACATCCGGGATCCGTGGGGAGTTTGGCAGCTGATGTGTCTTTCAGTTCTGTTACCGAATATGTTTATATAATTGGATTCATGATAGCAGCGTTTCTGCTTTTTGGCATCGGTGGGTTCCTATGTTATCAACTTTTGAAGAAAACATCGGCAACACTTTCAGCCATGACAAAACTTAAGTCTGTTTGAAGGTTTGGTTTATGCTATGAGTACTCAAAATCAGCTGATTTATGAGCTAAACCATAAGATGGAAGCGATTTCTGAGAATCGCAGGCCACCTGAGGCTTCTAAGACTCGCCAGCATGTTGGGGTCAACCTTGAAGAAGGCTCATAGCATGGATCAGTGGAATGCCCATAAATCTGGCCATTTTGGATCTGGAAAGTTCCAGCAGGACTCGAGGCTGGCAAGGAAAAAACAGTCTGCCTGAAGAAAATCAACAATTGTGGCTTATCTGAATCTGCCTCCCCCGTTTGGCCTCAGATGTGGACTGATTATCAAATATCTCCTGGGACATGTGTAAACTAAGGAAAAAGCTTTGTCTATCGCAACACCCCCCCTCCCCTCCTCCTCCCCGAGAACTTCTGTGCAGGCTTACAACAACATCATCAGAACTATGGCCTATCTGAAAGTGCTTCATGGACAAATCTCAACGTCTTGACATCAATGCATATGTAATGTGTTTATAAATGTTCTTGCTGGTAGAGTTTTTGATGTCTCAAATTGTGTCCTGACAGGACAATATGTGAAGAGATCTTTTTTTGTAATACCACTATCAATCCTCGTGGCCTTTTACCTTTTTCTATCTAAACAGTATTCTGATAAAGAATAAGTGTCCGCGCTCTTGTAGCAGCAGCAACGTGCACGCCGCCCATCTTTCGGACGATTGTACGAACGTAATCTCACTGTGTCCTGGTACAGGGATAATAAAGCTTATTCTGATTCTGATTCCACCTGTGAGTTCAGAATCCTCTTTGTGGATCTCAGCTGCTCCTTCACCCTCCAACCACTTGCCTCCAGCTCCATCTGTACTCCTTCCAGCAGGACCTCCTCTAACCTGGATTCCCCAGACCCTCCTCTCCATGCTGTCCTTCGACCAACGATATGTGATAGATGTACTGGTACACCTTCATAAGATATCTACAACCTGCATTATCAAACTGCTCTGCACAGCTTCTGACGTCTCTCCTTCCCTTCCAGGGGTTCCAGGGTGTCCCTACTGTCTTTAGTAAATCTCACCTTATCACTGTAAATAATTCACTTTATATCTTAAAGGTTTTGGGTCTGTTGTCCTCAGTCCGTTCTATCTAAACCCTCCGTTGTGACAGATTTACTAAACACGTGTCAGGTGTTTTCATAATTATCAGTTCAGTTAACGTTATGACTTGACTGTGTGTGTATCAGCTAAAATGATTTAGGTACAACAAAAGCCCTTACCCCCTTCACCTCCCTCAGGTCTCCTTTAACAAGAGAGTCCAGGAAGAAGTTGATGTTGTGTAGCATGCTCTTCAACTGCACACAGACACACACAAACAAGTGGAGGTCATTGACTTGAAAACATTGCAGGTCAGAGTAAATAGATCCAAAACATTTTTTTTTTAATATTCCCATGTGGACAGGGGTCTTGGACTTTTTAAAGTTTTTGTCAAAAGCGGCTGTTTTGGCCTTTGACCTCCGAGGCGTTGAGCTGTCACTCACCAGGTTCTTCATGGGCGAGATGAGCTCTTTGGAAAAGTCCGCCAGGCGACAGAAGGCCGAGCAAACCTCCGCCTCTCCGTTGGAGTGACAGTTTACAGCGAGCTTCTCCATGGAGTTGATGTACTGCTCCAGGTGAGACACGTGGTCTGAAACAGAAGCCGTGCTGGTTAGTGAAACGACACGTGCGTTACCGTGCGTGCGTGAGCATGCATGTTTCTGTACCTTGCCCTGATGCGTACTTGGCTTTTGCTGCTTTCTTCATCTTCTGTAACACCATCCGGTCACTGTCCAGGGCCTGATCAAACACATACACCTATGATGAGTGGGTGGATGTCCCCATGTGCATGGATGGGGGTGTGGAGTGGGGGTTGAGAGGGGAGGGGGGGACAGTATTTCCCTGCTGACTCAACACACACGCAGAGTATGAGCTCTGCTGTGGGACAATGGGCTGCTACATTCCTGCACGACTAAACCATTATGCAGCCATCATCATCATCTTGAGTCCACGGAGACCTTTGCTCCAAGAATTAAAATATCAATCTTTCTTATTTCCAGACGTATCGGATCACATGTCCCAAGAACACCATATCAGAGCGAAGCTTTCCCCTCATCAGACACGTTTTTGTACTCTTCGACTTCAAGTCCTGGCAAATTATTTGGCATTCAAGCATTCTTAAAGATTAAAAATGACTTCCAGACGTCTGAGTTATTTATACCTGCAGTATATTTCAAGCACTGCTGGATAAATTATGATTCTCTGAGTATGTAATATATTAATTATGAGTGATGTTTGTTTTACTGATGGGTAAAATACTTGTTCAGAATCTACAGCATCAGTCTGTGCAACTTTATGTTTTAATAACTGAGTAAACAATGTTTGCTTAAATCTGTTGTTTATTTTGAAGGCTGGAAAAACTCATAAATGACCCAACATCCATAACTTGAATGTTGGTGAACTGTATTATTAAATTACTAGTTTAATGACCGTGAAAGTCTTTACTGTGTTGCAGTCAGTGTCAGTTCTTGTTTTAATCTGTTTGTTTTATTGAACTTTGGGTTTTCTTAAGAAAAGAGCCTAAAAAAAGCTTTGTTCCTGCTTGCTCTTGGCAAAGACGGATGCTTTTCCCTCCCACTCCTGCCTCTTTCCTGCTTTGCTTTGTCCTGTGAACCCTATCGGAGCTTCTTTCTACATATCCTCCCAAGGACGTCTGTGGACCTGTGTCAGAGTTAAGCCGACTGATAGACACTACCATCTCTTATCAGGACTATGGAACTGTCTGGCAGTGTCCACGGACCACCACCTTTGTCGGCCTCGTGCATAAATGTATTATGATGTCATCAGTAACAAAGTTCATGCTCAATCATCCAGGTACAACATCCAGTAATGGTCAATCAGGTCATCTGGAAACGTCTTTCCACAAAAAAAAAGAAACTGACCAGATGACCTGATTGACCATTATTGGATTTTGTACCTGGATGATTGCGCATGAACTTTGATGTCTTGAACCATTTTGGCTGAGGCTGCCTGCCTGCGAGGAGTGGACGGGGGACAGGACAGCCTCCAGAAACCATCTTGTTACGGGCTGTTATGTCCGTATACAAGCGGTGTGAGAGTTTGCGTCGCATTACCGGTAGTTAGGGGTTGAACGAGTATATAATTTTTAAACTCGACATTAACATAATAAAACCCGAGTAGAACTCGAGTATTTGATGACGTCATAGATCTCAAGTGTTAGGGGTGACTCTCAGCTACTACCACACCAAATTTTCGCTCCATACATGTTAAACTGACTGACTTTCTGCCTTTTTGTGTGGCCTAATGTCAGTTAGCTGTGGCAGCCATGCTCATGAGTTGTAGAACTAAAGTCATCGATGACTTCGTGACAGTTTGATCAAAATCCATCCGACGGGTAACGACGTGTAAATAAACCAATAGTTGCTCGCACGCACAGACACAGGCAAAAACATTAGGATTAGAGAAGGTGAACCTTTGGATGAATACGTGTTTGTGTGAGTTTTAATCATCCAAACATGGCGCGTGGTACACTCTGGGATTTGAAAGCTAAAACAACACAGACGGTTTCATCTGGTCGTATCAGTCGGGAGGTGCTTTCAAAGCCCTTCACAGGTTTCGATAAAGTGTTTTCACTATTTAAAGAATAGTTGTTGTTTTTTTTCCATAAAGCATTTCAAGGGAATAAATATATTTAATGAATTTAATGACGTGTTGTGTAACGAAAAACTAACTAAATAAAAAGATTTCATGTAAAACGGGTGCTTTCGTCAGTGCTGTAGCTCCCCAGCCTGCCGTTAACGCCACATTAACATCTTTATTAAAATAATCTCTCTGGCTTCTCTTCAGAACCACAAAACAACAAAAACAAAGAATAATGACGGGGAGTAATCTGTTGCCGTGGTAACATATGCCAACCCTGCTGGAGGCTTTGTGGTGGGGGGGGCCAAAGGGGGACAGTTTGCGCCTGTTATTCAGGCTGCCCTCCAAGTCAATAACTCTACAGTTTGGGGGGGTCGGGGGGTCCTGCTGCATGCTGCAGCGAGCACAGTCCCATCCAAACACACAGACCTCACGCAGCAGGGCCGCACTTACACACACTGTTTACAACCATTAATTAGTTAAATGAAACAAAAAGGCACGGGAAATCCAAGGGATGCTGTTCTCCAGGCCAAGAATAGTGACGGTCGAGCAAATCTGGGGCTTTTTTTTATTAAAAAGTGTAAGCGTTTGATCTTTTTTTTTTTTTTTTATCTGTTTCTGCAGATTCTAAGAAAACATCAAACTAGAGGAGTTGTCTTTCAGGTTTGGATTAAAAGAAAACATTTTTAATTTAAAGGATATCTTGACTTTCTACTATTTACTTTGAACTTTCTTTTTTTTTTATACCAACCCAACTTCCACAACATTTATTGTTACTTTTTGAAATCACAACACTACAGTTAATTATTTCCATCCATCCATTATCTTTACATGCTTCTTCATTATTTATTTTATTTTATTTTATTTTATTTGGGGGGGGGGGGGGGGGGGGGGGTCATGGTGCCCATATCCATCAGTTACTGTGAAAGAGGAGGGGGGCACCCTGGACAGGTCTCCAGTCTGGACACATAGAGACAAACAACCATTCCTCTCTCACTCACACCTTAGAGTTACCAATCAGTCTAACATGCATGTACCCCGAGAAAAAACACGCATGCATGGAGAGAACATGCAAACTCCACAGAAAGGTCCTGGGCCAGGATTTGAACTGGCGAAGAAACAGCGCCACCAACTGATCCACCGTGCCGCCCTACTTCCTAATATACTGTAAAACTCTAAAATCCCTTTTGCAGTGCCTCTGAAAAATACTATTAATCCATAAAGTTTTCCTTTGTTTTTCACAAAACTACTACAAAATAAGTGTTTTTTCTGCTGAGTTATTGTGATAAACCAACACAAAGTTGCAGGTAATTGGGAAGTGGATGGAAAACTGTTTTACAAACAAAAATCTGAAAAATGTGGAGGGCGTTCATATTTACCCTTTAATGCTTCTAGCGAATGGAACCGATTGGCTTCACACAGAGTACACACGTTTAGCTCAGTATAAATCCATCTGTCCTGTGAAGTTTGTTTCAGAACGTTAGTAATCAAGCAGCATCATGAAGACCAAGGAATACACCAGACACTGTCAGGGATAAAGTTGTTCAACTGGCAGAAACAAACACCAAAAGACTTGCAGCTGTCAGTGCAGCAAAAAGTGATCAAAGTATTTATTCTGCAAAGTATTTGGTTTTATGAAGTAGTACAGCTGCTGTAAAGGTGACCGTCTTTTTTTTTTTTTTTCAAATACAAGCGACGATAATAAATTAAGAGGAACTCTGGTAAATTACACATAACATTGTCTGACGTTACTTTGAAGCAGCATCAGAAAACTTTACAGTAACAGAGGCACAACGAGGAGGAGGGGTGGAGGGGCAATACCCCCCCCCCCCCTTATTTATTAGCTGCCCCCCACAACCCCCTTAGCCAGGTGGATCCTCATATCTGTTAGCAAAATATGTGAGATTGATATTAATGACATTTTCAGAAAGTAATGTTTTTTTCAAGATGGCCACCACACCTAATCAACTTTAACAAACACACAAAAAAAAAAAAAAATGGCCATAACTCATTATTTTTTACAAATATTGAGCTAAAACCTAATGTGGTAGTAGCCGAGAGTCATCCCTGACACACACTCTGAAAGCTAACTTATCATGACGTCTTTGTTAAACACGTTGGCGTGAACTGCAGCGGGCGACAAGCGCTCTTTTAATAATTCAGAAATATGAATTTAGGAAAGGAGACGGCAGCTTCAGGACTTGATTGTTCTGTTTTCACTTCCTAAAACTAAATCCAAGGGATTTCTGTGACATCAGCACAGAAAACCTCTGGCTTGGGGCCGCCAGATGTGCACAGTGTACGCACCAGTGTCTGTTCTTGTCATTGCAGATGTTTTACCCGGTTCCACACAGATGTTATCGCCGCTCAGAGCTGATGGGGGGGGGGGGGGGGGGTCTCTGCTGGGCTGTGCTGGTGCATGATGTCACCAGACTCCGTGCACCAGTGACAAGAACAGGAGTGCAGTTTATGTTTTGTCCTCATCATGGCTTCATCATGGGGGGGATCAATGTGTTGGGGAGTTGTTTAAAACAGCAGACAGGATAAAGGGTGTAAAATGCTCACAGCAGCAGTCAACCCAACAGAATGAAACTGCACAAAGACACGGGGGGGGGGGGGGGGGGGGGGGGAATGGGGGCCAAACCCAACCAAGTCCACCCCATCTTCTCTAGAGAGCTACAAACCATCACAGCAGAGGATAGATGGTGGTTTTATGTGATTTCCCACGAACCCTGCAGAACCTGTTACTCCCCCCCTCCCCCTCTCCCCCCCCACCGGAAGGACCCACCTCCTCCAGCAGGTAGACCGTGTTCCTGCAGCCCATCATCTTGGAGGTGAAGGACGAGGTGGTGGGGGAGCTCCAGTCCTCCTGAACCTCCTGCACGAACTCCGACACGGAGACGCACTCCGGCATGGTTCGGTTCGGACCGGCAGGTACCGAGTTGGACCGGGACGGATCAGACAAAAGCCACTGAACACCATGAATGAAAGAAATACAAATAAATAAATAAAAACACGTCGAATGATTTCAGATATCCAGGAGGACCCAGTGAGACTCACCCAGAACCAAATGGAGCATTAGAACCCAGAGGTTCTGCTCAGTGGGACAGAACCGCAGAATCTGACGCCTCTTTTCTCCGAACAAAAGGTGACCCGGTCCGGCTGGAACCCAAAACAGCTGATCCAAGTTCACAAAAACCTTGAAGTAATAACCAGTAAAATATGAAAGTAACACGCCTCCCTCCGGTGCGCGCCTTCATTCAGAGGAAAATAAATAAATAAACAAATAAATAAATAAATCAACAAAGCGCAGCTGGTTTGTGAACCGGCTCACAAAGAGCGGAGGTTCTGCAGGGGGGAACCGGACCCACTGGGACCGGGTTCGGTTTACAGGATCAGTGGTCTCTGTGGTTCTGGTCCCGTCTCCTCGGCAGCGGCTCTTTTCTCTTTTTGCTTCTTTCTTAAAACCGCATGGAGATGCGCGTTCACGGCGCACAGCGGCGGAGCCCTCCCGCGGCGGCGCGCACTGCTGACCGAGCCCAAACCCCGAGAGGACTGGGAACTTAAAGGTTCTCACTGCACAGAATCAAATCAAACATATAAAAAAATAAAATAAAAAAGGTTACTATATCAAGTGGTGCGGTTTGACCGAGTCTGCTAGTTTTATACATATTGGGCTATTTAAATGCGGGTCCACACTCATTGTAAATAAAATGGGTTGAATCCACTTAGAACACATGTATCAAACTCAAGGCCCGGGGGCCAAATGTGGCCCTCGTTGACATCTTATCTGGCCCCCAAGATGTTATTTTAAATGTACTTTTAATTGTTTTCAGTAATCTTTGATTATGATGTCAAAAGTGCAACAGAGAACATGAAATGAGACCAATCAAGCTCTTGTTGAGGAACCTGCAACCAAGAAAAGATGTCGAGTATCTAACTTGAGTTAATGTAGAGTCGGAAACCCGCCCTTAGTTTGAAAAAGGTTTTAATTTTGCCCCACTGTTGTAAGTGTGGTTAACACCCTATAGCTCGAGTCATCATGTTGTAGTCTGTTTGCGTAAAAGTTTAAATTTAAGAGCACGTCAAACATCAATATGAGAAAGAAACTTTACTCTTCATGTAATGGCAACAGGAGCCCAGATCATTTTTCCATTCAACCTTTATTTATAGGTTAGTCTCATTGAGTCACGAGGACTCGTTTTCAAGAGAAACCCGTTTTAGACAGTTAACTATAAAGAGACAGATAACATAAAGATCACAAGGGGAGTGGTGGCGCAGAGGTTAGAGAAGATGGGTCTGTGATCGGAAAGTCGCAGGTTCAACTCCCGGTACCATCAACATCAAAATGTGGCTGGTAAAGGTAAAACACCCACACCTGCTTCCACCCTCATTTGCCACCCTAAGCAAGGTCCTTAACCCTCACCATCTGCTCCCAAAAACAGGTCTCTCTTGAAAATGAGTTCTCGTGACTCAATGAGACTAAATAAATAAAAAAGATTTAGTTTAAAATAAACATCTGTAAATCTGACTCACGAAAGGAAGAGTTAAGAGTCGACTGATCACTTCAGCTTCCCTGAGGAATGACAATTTATTTTTTTATTTGAGAACAAAATCTCAGCCCCCTTCCCACAACTGTTGTTGTTTCATTACAGCATCTTAAAAAGCTACCCCCACTTTTATGTTTTACACTTTTATGTTTTACACTTTTATGTTTACAC